TTGAGTTTGCAAAAAGCCTGAAGTATTTAAAAGATGTGAACCCTTCTTGCTGCACTGTAAACTGTGAAACACAGTAGTTTTGGTAGGCCCCACTTATGGATTTTTTAAAAACCTTTCTGATAAAAATAATCATGTCATGTCATTTATTAATGACAGAAAAGGACAATTATCAAGATCAAAAAAAAAAAAGTAGTCTACATGGAAAAAGCCTGGAAGTGTATACTGAGCCTGGCAAATATTTTGAACAATGGATTAAACAGGTTTATTTATTTTCCTGTCCACAAATTGTCTGTGAAAGGACAGTGTTTTCCAGAATATGTTTTATATTTCAATATATTAATATTTAATGCAAACAAATTACAGCTTCTAGATTTCTTACAAATTGCAAGCATCTGGTACACTTTATTCTATAGCTGTAGAAATTAATGGCAGTATTCAGTTCTGAAAACTGTCAAAATCCTGTGTTTGAGCTCAGCAATTGAGCGTATATTACAGATGATGAGGTATTGCTGGTGGTTCTTCATTGTGCCTCCCAACTTTTGATAAGCAAATTTCATTTAGTCAAACATAAGTATCCACAGGAAAACAGTTTTGTTCTTTTACCTAAGGTCACTCCATCAAAAGTCTTCAATGCTATCTGGCTTTTGTATAAACAAAGCACAGTTTGAAACGGTATTTTTGTTATTTTTTTCAAGAAACTCATGTTTACTTGTGTATTCTCAAGAAATCTCATTTCAAGTACCTCTAGTTTTTAGCTCTTCATTTGCTGTGTATCTTTAACTAAGATCAGTCTCTCCTTTCCTGTCTTTTTCAACAGCTACAAACCACCTTAAATGTATCCTTATAAACCTGATTACTGACAGACTGAACAGTCAACGCATACCAGGGATAAATACAGCAATTACACCTATTTACAGCTGTATCTCTTTTCTGCTTTATTATTACTAAGTGGTTATTAAAAATAGTGCAGCCTTCAGGGCTCCTTCGATTGTCAGCTTGACAAGGCAAGGACTGTGCCTCGGTTGCATGTGGCGCTTTTGGCAGCGCTGTGTTACGGGGCTGTCGATGCTGCTTGGTGGCATGGCGTGGCGTGGCAGTGGGCAGCGTGGGTGCCCTCACAGCGCAGGCTGCACGGGACCCCCTGTGCCAGGGGCTCCAGCAAAAGTCACAACTAGAAGGCAGTACCCGACCACGTGTGACAGCATAAACGGCAGAGACAGATTAACAAACCGCTCCGGTTCATCCCTTCTTGCTCCTTGCTTGTGTCCTGGAGGAAGGTTCTGCTGTTGGTTTTTGGATCTCAGCTACTCATAGGCGCTGCGGGTTTCACGCTGGTGGGCACAGAGGAAGAGGACCTGCACCCTTCCGCTCCACCAAATCCACGCTTCCCCCTGAAATGAAGGGAAATTGTCCTCCAGAGCTGTCAGAGTGGAGTCCTTGACTTACGTGGGTCCTTCTGTTTCTGCCCAGGAGAGGGCAATCTGGCACCCAGACATCAGCCAGTTCAGCGTACCATGTCTTGAGGCTCCTTGGGGGCCTGTGCGTTTAGTGCCTGGCCAGATGGACACAAAACATGGCTCTGTCTCCGCTGGTGGGGTCTGACAGCACCCTTCTCTTACCCAGCTCCCCTTCCTTGGTGGGGATTGCGGGCCCGTGTCCTGGTCCCTCTCTGGGGAGAGGGGCTCTGCTGTGCCACCTCCTTTCATGCCCGGGTGCAGCACCCATGCAGTGGGCCGGGTGAGCCTATGCAGTGCAGAGATTTGAGGACTGGGTAACCCAGGTGGTGCCGCAGCCCTCCTGTTCCGGGCTCTGAGCAGTGGGGTAAGGCTCTCCGCTTTGAGACGTGGCAGGATTCACACGTGTATACACCCATGTAAATGCAACTCTGCACACACTGTTTTCTCATCTATTTGTAGCAGTGTATACGCAGGCACATAAATACACTCATTTTCAGATTTGGAAAGACTAACTAGTCGTTTCTTCTTTTCCTCCACCTCTTTTTTCCTCTGCTCACATTAAATTAATTTTCCAGATTAAGGAATTTATTGATTGCCCTAAAACTTGGGCCAGATGTTTGCCTCTGACCCCAGAACCACTTTGGGTAGCGGCTTGATGCCAGTGGTGCAGGGGTTTGGAGCAGCCCAGGCAGCGGGACTGGCTGCACGCCCCCTAACCGGCACTCCCGGAGAGCACACAAAACTTTAAAGGTGGCAGATCCAAGTGGGACTCAAGATGACACCGTCAGGATCCCTGTAACTTCATTTTCCTTTGATTCTGCCTTCTGTTTTACTGTTTGCACATCATGCTAGTCTAGATGGTAACAAGCAACTGGAAGTGCCGCTGGAGCCTGTAATTAGCAGGTTCCTACCCTGGGACTTGGTTCTTGCCAGTGGGCTGTAGGTGTGTGATAATTTGCTACTTAATCAATGGGAATTATTAAAATATCACTGCATATTTTTCCTTTGCGCTAGACCCGTACACAGAAGCTCTTATATGGGGTGTGGGGGGAGTATCTGGGGCTCCCAATCATGAAAGCAAATGCTACTGCTCATTCACTTTCAGTACTCCGTTTGTCTTTTTTTTTTATTTTAAAGCAACCTCTTCCTTTCCCGCTACCCTAGCCAAAAAGAAAAATATTAATATTATTTCCATGTTTAACTTCTTGAAACAGTGAATTTTAGCCTAGTCAAAAAGTCCTTAAAACAGATATAGCTATGCAAAATTCCACCATTTTAATTACAAAAAGCAGTGTGTCCCTTCTTGGGCAAGTAAGTTTTACCTTGGATTTGCTTTGCAAACAAAGTAAAATCCAGTTTGGTGGGTTGATTTTTTTTTTTTTGACATTTATTTAAGTAGGTGGTACTTCAGCCATAAAAATTTTGTGTATTAGTGCTGTAACTCTGTAATTTTTCTGGTCATTTTGGTTTTAGTCTTTAAGGTAGCCTTCCTGGGATCGGTTAGGAGTACGTAGGAGTACGAGGTAGATGCAGGGAAGTTTTCTCCTAGGTACATAGCTGTGTTAGAGGCTTGTTGTGTGGCCAGTGAACCCTGGCAGAGCACTGTCACTGTCCTTGCAGCGCTATTGAACCAAACGTTGTACATGCTATTTATTAAACTCAGCACCTCCTGTGATGGTACTGGAGCAACAGTGTAGTGTTGCTACATAGCTGGGGAGCATTAAAAGATAGAAGTGAAATACCCCATGTATTATCTGTTGGCTCTGTGTTTAGTGACAAAAGCTGTGGGAAGTCTATAAAACAGCTCAATACGTCATTTCTTATGGAAACTGTTATTCCACAAGAGTGTACAGAAATAGTTTTGCTAAACAGCGACTGGTACGTCAAAGATAAATTGTGGTCCAGATCAGCGGTTACTAGAATAAAACAATGAACTTTTGTATTATATCCTGAAAAGAGAACATTTTCCAGATTTAGCCAAATGCCAGTGAAAACTGGAATTTTTCAAATCTGTCTTAAAATATTCCTACATTCAGTCGGATTAGAATTAATTTTTTGGCAGCGGGTGAAGCCATATCACACTCAAATATTTTTTGTGATTATTACATAAATTTAGAAAATGTAATGGCATGTGCCTTGATTTCCCCATCTGTGAAATGGGCGATTCCGCAGTGTTCCTGCGAAGCACCACGGCTGAGAACCGCTGTGACTGCAGCTGATTGTTATTCTCTTAATCATATTAGTTAACTAAATCTGTTCCTAGAGTGGTTCCATTTGCTGGAATGAATTTACATGAGAGATTAATTCAGTGCTGTTTATTGTTGTTTTTACATTTATTCAGCACTGTAAATAATGCCCGATACTTTACAGCTGTGTATAAAGACACAGTCTGTGCGTCAAGGGCTTTTTGGTACAGGTAATTTGAAGGGTCCCTTCTTAAACCTCGCACTTTCCCATGTAGCGGATGAGCCTATGTTGTTTCCTCTATATTTTGAGGACTTTTTGTTCACGTGGTATCCGCTCCCAGCACTTTCCTGCAAGTATGATTCAACAGATAAAGTTCATCCTTCACCTCCAAAGGGTGATTACCTCCCTTTTGCCCTCCCCCTCCCCCCTCGGATCCTACTCCCCCCCGCCTCAGTTTTGGATATCTTTCATTTGCAATGTACTCTAACCGCTACTGGATTTGAGCACAAGAACGATCCTGAAAATAGAGACCAGTCTCCTACCTAGCTGCCGCCACCTTTAAGCCGGACAGCTGCTTTTAAAATGATCCATTTGTTTATTTCTAACCCCCGCGGAACGGGACTGCCAGGAGTTATTTGGGGGTCTCGTTCTGCCACCCGGCTCTCAGTGTTTTTACATTTTTCCGGGAGGTTTGTTATTAGCATTTCACTGCTCTCCATTGTGTGAAGTGTGGTGTACGGAGGTTATTTCTTTGTGCAGGCTCCCCGGCCATCCCGCCTCCGGTGCGGCAGCGGGGCCGCCCTCCCTCTCGTCCCCCCAAACTGTTGATGTGAGGTGCGGCCCCCCCAAAGGCGCCGCCGGGGTGGCGAGGGCTGCCGAAGCCTGGGTAGCCCAGCACAACCACTTTGAGCGGGCAGAGCTGCGCTGAAGGGAACCGTCTCGGAGCGGGTGAATCACCAGCTGCAAGCGGCGGGGATTGTCGTGGCCTGTGTTTATGTATTTTGTAGTAATCACATTTCTGACATTACCCAAGCGTGCTCCTCGCAGAGGGTGATTGGCTCAGGCAGCTTTTAAACCACCTATATGCTAACAAGCCTTGCTGCCAGGTTCCTGAGGGGTCCTGGCTGGGAAAAATTAAACCCAAACCTTAGACCTCTGTCAGGCGGAGAGGAAAATTATATTTTTGAACTAGTCTACAGCGTGGACAGGAAATGACCCCTCCAGAAACTGCTGCTTTAAAAACGAGCGGTGGTGCCTGAAGCTATCCAGCCTCTCTCTCTCTCTCCGGAGCCTGTGCGCTCCCGCTCCCTCTCCCCCCCCCGTCTCCTGCTATAGAGGGCTCCCACAGCAGTTCCCAGCCAGTGCGTGCAGCCTGGATGTGTGTGTGTGTGCGCGCTGCTACTTTGTACTGTGAAGAACACACAGCCCATGTGCTCTGTATGGATGTTGATGATACTCTGTGTAGCTTGAATCTCTGCAAGCAGGCAAGATGTCCAGCACACCACATGACCCTTTCTATTCTTCTCCTTTTGGCCCATTTTATAGGAGACACACACCATACATGGTGCAACCAGAGTACCGAATATATGAAATGAACAAGAGGCTGCAGTCGCGGACGGAGGTAAGTCCCTCAGCCTTGTTTTCCTGTGCATGGACCGTGGTAGGTTTCAGCCCGAATTCCAGCTGAAGCGTCCCACTAGACAGTACAGTATATGCAGGCACGAACCCTAATTAATTTAGTAGTTTAATTGGGTAATCCCTCATTATGTTTCCACGCAGAGCAACTCTTTGAGGAGATACCAGCTTAGGCTGAAATCTTGAAATTACAGTACAGCACTTCAGGATTGATTATAACGCTGGTCTCAGGGAATTTCTTTGCCTTAGTGTGTTGTTTGCTCAGGATCTGTCCTGCTGGCATTTTATAGCTATAATATTGCAAGGTATCGCTCGAGCTTTTGCACAAAACTAATTCAGAAATGTTGCAGGTTAAGGGGGAGAGACGAACCTTTCTCTGGTTTTGTTTTGTAAAGTCGTTAAAATTAAAAATGAATGGTAACAGAAAACAGGAGCGGAGTTTTAAAAACTTATTCCTAGGCTGCACTTAAAGAACACATGTTCAGGATGACCGACAAGAGAAATTCATGTTTACATTTAGAATGCAGTTGCTTTTAGCGAGAGAGATGATCGGTTCATGACTTTATCATATAGCTGTCAAAAGTACCCAATTAATGTAAACTACATTCACCGTTGGCTATGCTTTGTATAATCTGTTAGTGGTTTATACACCCTGGCTTCTACACCCAGATCAGCCACCACAAAGAGTATGCTGAATGGGAAGGGGAAATACTTTTGTCACTTAAAGACAAAAAATAGTGGAGGCTGCATCTTGTTATTTACGTGGTTAAATAAAGCACACTTTTTAGTCTGTTGAAGTGAAAACTGTGTGGACTGAATCAGGCTGCATTTCTGCCCATGTGTCTGTGTTTGTGCAGCAAACATTCTTGGTGCTGCAATTTTTCATAGTAGTTTACTAGTGGTGCCCTGAAAACACTTTTAAAAAGTATTAATCTTTTATAGTGAATGGCTTTATACGAAGGCAAATATCTGCCAAATTCATGCCATGAAGCATGGTAAAGGATGTCAGATTGATCTGTTTGTTGTATTGTAATTCTTTAAGAGAACATGAGGTTATCATAAAATAAAACACACATGCCTGAATTGTCAGCTAAGCCATGGAGAATCTGTGACGTTTAATGTATATGATACAGCTAACGAGATGTGACCTGCTTTCTGATTGGGTAACCGCTACGGGGTAACTGCTTTTCTAACACTGTTATCACTGCTAGTCTTAAAACATTGCTGTGTAATTGGTAAATACACTTTGTGCTGGCTAAAAACTCCAAGCAGCTCATTGCTCCCAAAATCATGGCAACTGTTTGTCAGTTTTGCCCCAAGTTGTTGGTCACGGAGGGTCACTGCCCTTTAGATAGAATGAGGGGGGTTGGAGGGTTTATTTGCTACTGTTTATTTGTCAGCGTCTTGCAACTCTGATCCTTACATTCCTGTACATATTAATGTAATAATTTCTAGACTTTTTCAAGTGAAAAGAAGAAAAATGTATTGTTAAGTGATTCTTTCAGGGTTTTATATACAAGCTGTTCTGAAAAGCTGTCAGTGCTAATTTAGCCTTTTTACATATTATTTTAGTGATACTTTTAATAATTGACCAGTTTCGGGTTGCAGCTCCTTTACAAATGTTACAGTAGAAAAGTTTTTGAGGGACTTGTGAAACAACTTCCCCCTCCTGCGTTGCTGAGGTGAGCTGAGTTAGACTTCAGCGCATTTAATTGCAGTTTTTGCTGGGCACGTTCACATGGATTGTTGTGGGCAAAAAGCGGTAACCTACTCTTCCTTGCTAGTACTGCCATAGGTTTCAGCAGCATTTTACTTTGACAGACAGTGCTTAGTTAATGAAGGCCTTATGCTCCAGCATTTCTTTTATTTGCTCAGAGTAAAAATACTTTTGCCTTGTGATTGTTCAGTGTTTACATTCTGGTTCTCTGTTTTTTAATTTCTGAGCTCTGTGCTGTAAGCACTGTTGTTTGTTGAAATGTATTTTCTAGCTAGCTTCAGCTCATCTCATTCATCCTCCAATTAAAACACCTTCCCTAATGGGGAAAAAAAAAAACAAACTAGTTTCCTGGGACACTTACAGTGACTAGGTGTGGACAGCCTGTAAAGAATCATGCTGGCTTCTGAGGCAGGTTGGGAGTGGAAGTTTCACATTAATTTTACGCACTTCCAAGCATGTTTGGGATTGGTAGCTGAAGGCTTCTGGAGCATGTATAACTAGCTCTGAATGTTTTGAATCCAGACTGATGGAGCCCTGTATGTCATGGGAGGAATGTGCTTGTGCTGTGGGTGATAGAGGCTTACTGCATGAACGTTTCTCTTCAGGCAGTCTTTGGAATAATGTAGGCACTGGTCTCTGAAGGAGGCTGCTTGTACTCTGTGAGCCCCAGGGGGTAGGTGAGCACAAGCAAAGCAGCTTAAGGGGAGAGGAATTACAAAGAAACTCTCCAAAAGACTGGGGGTAGCAAGCTGGCAGATTCCACTTGGACCCAACTTCTGGAGAGAGCCAGTGGCAAGTGAGGATGTGTTAGGAAATGGGAACCTACAGCTCTTATCCCAAATATATCCTTGGAAAGCCTTTGGGATTTTCCTGTTTTCCTACAAAATAAAAATGTTCTTAATAATCCTTTAGAATCAGATTCTCTGCTGTCCCTTGCAGTGGTGGAAGTTCCAAGGCAGAGCAAAATGTACGTAATTTGATTAAGTTGTACAGAGGATGGATGGAGGACCTATGAAAGGAGTATCTTTATGTCATGTCTATCTGTTTTCTCCTCTCCATCTGTAGAGCCCACCTTTGTAGTGAATTCCTGTAGCTGCTCTCCAGAGCTTGCAGGTAGACGAGAAATGATTCAAAAAAAGCAATGGGCTGGTAGAGACACCATTAGGGAATTCACTGGTAAATGCCATTTCTAATCCTGCTCGCCCAGCAGCAGGGTCTACGGTATGTTGAGGGAGGTGGAAGTGTCCTCAAAGTGGCTCTGCGCTTGGAGACCCTCCCTGAGAAATCCACTGCTTCCGCTCTGGTTTGTGTCAGCATTGGATGGTAGGGAATAATAGTTGGTGTGAAGGATGTGCTTAGTGTATTAAGCAAAGTACAGAGTGATAAATAAAGGTCATTTAGATGCAGCATGGCTATCTTTGTTCTTGTTTTCTTTAGGAAGAAATGGTAGTCATGAAAGTAAAGAATTAGCAACTCTAGCCTGTGCTAGATGTGCAAACTTTTGCTCTCCAAACTTCTTAAAACTTTATGGTCTCCTCAGGCAGAACCTACAACTGCCTTTTTAAATTCAGGGTCAGTCTTAGGCGAAGAATTCCAATCACACCCAGGCAGGGGGTGGTTTTATGATGTAAGTACTGGCAAAAGTCCACCACCTAGCTAATTCTTACGTGATCTAAAGTAAATTAGGGAGTCCGAGTTACTAACTAGTGTACAGGAACACCTTACCTTCCTTAAAAGTTGTTCAAAGAAATCTAATATGGTAATACTTTTTTCTAAATGGAAAATAATACGTGCTTTCTTAATAATACTTTGGGAGCATCTAGTGCCATTTTGTAATGCATCAACAATCCTGATTTAAAGAAGTAAAATGAATATTTAAATGTTTAATAATCTCTGGCAGATATAAAGATAAATCTTATTTACTTCTATCATAGTTGATTAACTTTCTGGTTAACCAAAATGCATCTGTTTCCTTGCTCTGTGTGTGGGTTTAGGGATTTCATTACCATTCACTCAAACTCAGTTTATCTTAATATTTTTATATCTGTGTTAGTTTAACATTTCAGGAAAGCAATCCTGTTGTGGCATAATCAGCAGTTTCTAAAGTTCTAGGTAGCAATACACAACATAGGTAAATTAGCTTAAATATTTTGTCCGTTTTTCATAAAACTCGATGTTTAAAAAAAAGCCTCTTCTCTTCTTTGATGTTGTAAATCCTTTTCTGTTCTAATTTTTAATCATTTGAAATTGCTCACACTTAAAAGAAAACAAAAGGTGATTATATCTTGTGTATAATTATTTTTCAGTAACATTACAGTGCGCTGTGGATAGATCACTTAAAGTTGCTGACAGTTTAAAGTTTGAGGCGTTGCTTTATTGCCAATAATCAAAGAAATGTATCAAGCCTTTCACTTGTTTATTTAGTCCCCTATATTGTTGGAACTTTTACATATCACAATATATTAAATTCACCTGTATCTCTCTCTGTCACTACAAGAGGTTATGCTTTACATCACCATTATGTGCAAAACACAGCTTTCCTTCTGGCTAAGAGAGCAGTGTTTTAAGGGTGACTAGAGAACTTGATTAGAAGCATATTTGTTTTAAAGACAATCAGCTTAATCAAATCATATTAAACTCCTATTAAACTGTACAGTGAATTTAACAAAAGTAGAGATTTCATGATGGAAGAAAATGTAAAGAAAATTAAAAGGAAAATAAAGGAGGATGTTATGATTATTTAAAAGCGACTAAATGAACTGGAAGCTTACACAGGCATTCATATTCAACCAAATATTTAAAGCAAATCAAAGCAAAACAAAATTTCTACAGTTTAATGGAAGTCTCTTATTTTACTTCCTCACATTGCTATCTGATGAAATAATCTTTTCTTCTTCCTGATGCATTTTTAATAGATTAGTCATAAAAATCTATGTTGTGACATCACATTTGTTCACATAGCAACTTAGTATCGCAAACAGATCTCTCATATTGTGTACATAAGTCTGAGTTTGTCCAATGAGTTTGTTTTGTTGAGGGGAAAACACATAAACTTATGTCTCAAAGTATTTTTGAGGAAATATTCTTTCACCCACATACTAATACTTAGCAATGGAGGAACATGAGTAAAGTATTTTAAAAGTACTTATAATTACATATCACAATATATTAAATTCACCTGTATCTCTCTCTGTCACTACAAGAGGTTATGCTTTACATCACCATTATGTGCAAAACACAGCTTTCCTTCTGGCTAAGAGAGCAGTGTT